ATTTACGATGAAATCATGACAAAACATTTACGATGAAATCTTGACAAAACATTTACGATGAAATCATAACAAAACATATACGATGAAATCTTGACAAAACATATACGTTTAGTTTACGATGAAGTCATGACAAAACATATACGAAGAAGTCATGACAAAACATATACGATGAAATCATGACAAAACATATACGAAGAAGTCATAACAAAACATATACGAAGAAGTCATGACAAAACATATACGAAGAAGTCATGACAAAGTGTTTACGAAGAAGTCATGACAAAACATTTACGATGAAGTCATAACAAAACATTTACGTTTAGTTTACAATGAAGTCATGACAAAACATTTACGATGAAGTCATGACAAAACATTTACGATGAAATCTTGACAAAGTCATAACAAAACATATACGATGAAGTCATAACAAAACATTTACGTTTAGTTTCGATGAAATCTTGACAAAACATTTACGATGAAATCATAACAAAACATATACGATGAAATCTTGACAAAACATATACGTTTAGTTTACGATGAAGTCATGACAAAACATATACGAAGAAGTCATGACAAAACATATACGATGAAATCATGACAAAACATATACGAAGAAGTCATAACAAAACATATACGAAGAAGTCATGACAAAACATATACGAAGAAGTCATGACAAAGTGTTTACGAAGAAGTCATGACAAAACATTTACGATGAAATCATGACAAAACATTTACGATGAAATCTTGACAAAACATTTACGATGAAATCATAACAAAACATATACGATGAAATCTTGACAAAACATATACATTTAGTTTACGATGAAGTCATGACAAAACATATACGAAGAAGTCATGACAAAACATATACGATGAAATCATGACAAAACATATACGAAGAAGTCATAACAAAACATATACGAAGAAGTCATGACAAAACATATACGAAGAAGTCATGACAAAGTGTTTACGAAGAAGTCATGACAAAACATTTACGATGAAATCATGACAAAACATTTACGATGAAATCTTGACAAAACATATACGATGAAATCATGACAAAACATTTACGATGAAATCATGATAAAACATATACGAAGAAGTTTCGATGAAATCTTGACAAAGTCATGACAAAACATTTACGATGAAGTTTCGACAAAGTGTTTACGAAGAAGTTTCGATGAAATCTTGACAAAGTCATGACAAAACATTTACGATGAAGTTTCGACAAAGTGTTTACGATGAAGTCATGACAAAACATTTACGATGAAGTCATAACAAAACATTTACGTTTAGTTTACAATGAAGTCATGACAAAACATTTACGATGAAGTCATGACAAAACATTTACGATGAAGTCATGACAAAACATATACGATGAAATCTTGACAAAACATATACGAAGAAGTCTTGACAAAGTGTTTACGAAGAAGTCATGACAAAACATAAACGATGAAGTCATGACAAAACATTTACGATGAAATCATGACAAATCATATACGATGAAGTCATGACAAAACATTTACGTTTAGTTTCGATGAAATCATGACAAAACATTTACGATGAAATCATGATAAAACATATACGATGAAGTCATGACAAATCATATACGTTTAGTTTCGATGAAATCATGACAAAACATATACGATGAAATCATGACAAAACATATACGATGAAGTCATGACAAAACATATACGATGAAGTCATGACAAAACATTTACGTTTAGTTTCGATGAAGTCATAACAAAACATATACGATGAAATCATGACAAAACATTTACGAAATCATTAATGAAAACATTAACGTAAACATTTACGATAAAATTTATTTCCTGGACTGTTGTCAAAATGTCATGTTGTCAGTAATTTTAAGAGAAGTTAAATAACCTGGTGACACATGGTGGCGTGGTGACACTGAAAACATTTACGTTTAAGTTCGATGAAGTCTTGACAAAACATTTACGAAGAAGTTATGACAAAACATATACGATGAAGTCATGACAAAACATTTACGTTTAGTTTCGATGAAGTTAGTGTCTATGTTATACAGTAATGTTAGTCATGAATGTTTGTCCTACGTGTTGGCGTTAGTGTTGAAAAATAATGTTTGTCCTACATGAAGCCGTACAAGGTTTGAATTTGTTATGAATATAGATTACACTCTTGTTTTCTGTATCTATCATACAAACATAAGCAGCGCCTGTTTTTTGTAAAGTTTATATGAAGTTTTTCGATAGTTAAGACCTGTATAATAATAGAATGCGTCCTCATTCTCAACATAGTAGTAGAACTCAAACGAATGCTTACCATAATCGTTATTTCAACAGCTTCGTCAGATATTTCATCAACGAACTCATAAACTATATCGCCATACTTGCTTTTATTTCTATTGTTTTCAGATCTAGAACACCAACGAAGGTTGAGATTCTGTTGTCCGTTCTATCATGATTTATATGGTCTATTTCTTTCAAATTGTTTTGGATTTTCAATCCACTGTTCTGCAATAATTCTATGCTTTAAGTACATTTTGTGTTTAAACTAAGCACAATATAACCATAATTATTTAAGTATTCACTCAATAATATGTTTGTCTTTCTTTTCGACGAATAGTAAAAGGATATGTCGTACAAATCTCATAATCTTCATGATTTCTCAATGTTTCCCATTGAGTTTGTTCCCACTAACGTTCTCATTGACGTCCTCAATATCTTCTTCCTCACTGAACTCGTCAATATTTTCACTAGCTCCTTCTGTAATGTTTTCATCGGCATTGTCATTGACTTCTTCTGTAATGTTAGATGTTGTTGTTTCGCTCATGTTCTTTTCACTAATGTTAAAAGTTATGTTGTACGAATTTTGAAACAGAATTTAGAGCAGTTATGAAACAATGAAGTATTTTTAGCTATTGAAAGGAACTATGAGAGTGAAGTACATGACAGCAATGACAAAAGGAACTAATATCAAACCTAATGAAATCGCTCACGAGGACATAGAGTTTAACAAGTATTTTGTGGAGTATCTTATAAGTGAAGAGTATGTAAGACCTTACTTTCATGTTTGACAGCATGAATGAGGATGTTATTTCATGGTTAAAGAATATAAGCAATGTTTTCGGTAAGTACGTCATAGATGACAAAGGTCTTGTTGTATTTTTATGAGACAGCAATACGAACACAGGAACTAATGGATATTATGCACTCAACAGCAAAGAAAGGATTTAGTACTATTGGCATGAATGAACATTGCAGGAATGACATATACAACCTATGCTCACGAAAGCCTTACACAAAAGCAATACAAATGATAGAACATAAGCGTCTAAGGTCAGCAAATGAAATCATTACTGTCGGTGGTTATGAAAGAACTGTTAGCAAAGATGAGTGGAAACAGCTATTCATATTAAGGAAGGACGTTGCTGAACTAGTTAAACCTGTTGCACAAACATTGTTTCAGATAAGACCAGCAATGACTAAGAACCCTTTGACCTTAGTCAATGAGACCATAGAGGTTGAAGATAATGACATGAAAGAACTAGGAATGAATGAGAGAAGTTGTGAAGGATGTTTGAGTCAAAACACATGGTTCTTCAGAGCTGTTAAGAAACTTAGTAAAGAACGACAGAAATATTTTATAGAGAAGTATTGCAAAAGGACATGTAAATGAATTGCTTGAAATAGAACTTAGAGACACTTTCACACTAAAGGACTTGAGAAGAAATAAGTACATGAGTGAAAAGGTATTGACATAGTTAGTGTTATAAATGACTTAAGAAGATGTGTTGTCGTTATTGACGGAGCACGTATGACATATCTAGTGAAAGATTATGATGGAATACGAGACACAACAACACTTGTGTCAGTAGATAGCAAGGAATTCAATAAGCTCATGAAGAGTGTTTATGTAGGACGTATTGAAGAGAAGGATGTGAACGCACTGATGATTTATGAAGCGGGTCAGAACAAGAACTATCTTATGAAGTCAGGCATGAGATTCTTTGACGAAAGAGATGACATTTACAGCTATTTCAGAGGATATGAGTATGAGGTACTGAATGAAGTAGATGAAAGCATTATTGAAGGATATTTGAAACATGTTCACGATGTCATATGTAATGAGGATGAAGAGCTTTATGAGTATGTTTTGAACTGGTTCGCCTACATCGTTCAAAATCCTTGTGGAAAGACTGGAACAGTACTTTTTGTTAACAGGAAAGCAAGGAACTGGTAAGAATGTACTTAGTAATGTTCTATGCGAGCTCATTAGCAAGTACGCCAACAATAATATAACGGCAATAGAGAATGTGGTTGGTAGATTCAATGCTGCTATTGAGAACATGAAGCTCATCGTATGCAATGAACTAAGCTCATGCGATACGTCTAAGGTCATGAACCACGAACGCACTAAAGTCAATAGTAACAGAGACTCAGTTGGACTTAAATCAGAAGTGTCAGCCAGTAAGAAAGATAGAGAATGTTTGTAATATCATCATGATATCTAACAACTTCAACTCAGTAAAGATTGACAAAGACGACAGAAGATTTGTTGTCATTGACGTAAGCAGCAGATACAAAGGAAATTACGAATATTTCTCAAATCTCATTGAAAGCTTTAATGAAGAGTTTTATTCAAACTTACTGACGTACTTCATGAAGAAAGATTTAAGTGAATTTGATGTAAGGAAGATACCATTCACCAGGGCTAAACAAGAACTCATCGAAATGAACAAAACACCTTACCAAATGTTTTACGAGGAGTTCTATGAAAAGTTTGTATCCGGATGGAATTGTACAGAGTGCTACAGAAGATATAAAGAATTTGCGAAGGAGAATGAATTCTTTGCATGTAGTTCAAATGTATTTGGCGGCAAGATGAGAGAATTTGTGAAGAGAAGTAGAAAGCGAGACGGTTCTGCACGAAGTTATATTTACGAAGCAAGTATGATATTAGAAGGTCGTGGAAAGAAAGAAACAGTGAATTATGAGGAAGTGCTTGAAAAATTCATGGAGTACATGGGAAGCAATATAACATACAACAAAGACATATACAGTGAGTTTAAGTACTACTGTGAACAGCATGAGATTGAAGTAATGAGTAAAGGAGACTTTGAAACGCTTATGAAAGACAGTGAGGAGGTCATACATGAGAACAGTGTTGAAATAGTTCATGAGAACAGTGAGGAGGTCATATATGAATGCAATGATGAAATAGTTCACGATGTCGTTCGTGAAGAAGCCATTGCAACAAAGAATGAGATAAAGGATTTCATAGAACTTAACAAGGAGGAGTTTAAAGAAGGCTATGAAGTGAAAAGATGTGAAGAAGATTTCTTGGCGTATTTGAAGAAAAAGAGACTAAAGCCAATGGCTCAAAATAAGTTTCAATCGATGTTTGAAAAGAAACGTTTGAGCTATGGTGGTGTAAGAAGCACATATTACTTTGTTAAGAAGTGAGGATATTTATTTTTGTCGTTAGTGTTGGAGTTTGTGTTTGTTGTTAGTGTTTGTCATTTGTGCTGAAGTTAGTACTTGTCGTTAGTGTTGGAGTTTGTGTTTGTTGTTAGTGTTTGTCATTTGTGCTGAGGTTAGTACTTGATGTTAGTGTTGGAGTTTGTGTTTGTTGTTAGTGTTTGTCATTTGTGCTGAAGTTAGTACTTGTCGTTAGTGTTGGAGTTTGTGTTTGTTGTTAGTGTTTGTCATTTGTGCTGAGGTTAGTACTTGATGTTAGTGTTGGAGTTTGTGTTTGTCATTTGTGCTGAGGTTAGTACTTGATGTTAGTGTTGGAGTTTGTGTTTGTTGTTAGTGTTTGTCATTTGTGCTGAGGTTAGTACTTGATGTTAGTGTTGGAGTTTGTGTTTGTTGTTAGTGTTTGTCATTTGTGCTGAGGTTAGTACTTGATGTTAGTGTTGGAGTTTGTGTTTGTTGTTAGTGTTTGTCATTTGTGCTGAGGTTAGTACTTGATGTTAGTGTTGGAGTTTGTGTTTGTTGTTAGTGTTTGTCATTTGTGCTGAGGTTAGTACTTGATGTTAGTGTTGGAGTTTGTGTTTGTTGTTAGTGTTTGTCATTTGTGCTGAGGTTAGTACTTGATGTTAGTGTTGGAGTTTGTGTTTGTTGTTAGTGAGAGAATAAATTAAATCATGAACTTTGCCATGGTCTCTGTCCCTAGTAGTTTTCATTAAGTTCTGGAAATAATGAAAGTCATAAACTTTGCCATGGTCTCTGTCCCTAGTAGTTTTCATTATCTCACAGAGTTAATGAAAGTCATACTTTCTATCAGATGAAGCACGCAGATGAACATAACGAAAGTTAGTGGGTTTGCCACGAGTTATGAATAAAATATTGGCATATTAGATGAGATAGCTGATGAAACAGATGAAGATAAATTAAATCTTGGACTTTGCCACACTCTGTCCCTAGTTCCTCAAAAATCCTTGACAACGTTGCTTAGAAAATTTGGTTCAAAACCTCATCTGATTTTAATCTGTTATGCTACCTGTTAAGTTTCGCGAGATTATAAATGTCATGGAGTTATATAAAAAGGAGGGACAGCTAGGGACACTGGAAGTACTTGTAAGGCTATCTGTTAAGATTGCATGAAATACTAAAAAGTCATGAAATCCATTATCGCTGTGCTAGCTTCACCTTAGAGTAAAATGACGACTAAAGTCACTGAAGCAATGAAACAAAAGTTTTTGGTAGAATACATTAAATCAGGAATTATTCCAGAAGGTTTTTACATTCATACTATGAAGGATGGTAGAGTTCAGTTTAGAAAGATAAAGCAACCATTAGATAAAGAAGGAATTTTGAGAAAGATTAAACTTCATGAGGACAACATTGCTGAACTTAAGAAGAAGTTAGAAGAGTTGGAGAAAGCAGACGACAGTGAGTTATAAAGCAATGAATTCAACAGGTTAGAAATCGGGTTAGAAATCGGGTTAGATCTCACCACTTCACCTAAATTTATTTTTGTGCTATGTTTTCATACGTGTGAGGGTGGTGATATCATTAATTTTTAAGTTTATTTTTTATTTTATTTTTTATTTGGATGTAAATGACAGAACAAAAGCAACTCATTCGAATTCCACAGTATAACAAACATACATTTAAACATTTATTCTTCCTTCCTGAGCATAACATGTTCTTTCAAATACATCCGAGACCAGTTGACTTTTCATTGACTGTGTATAAAGATAGAAATAGTTATATCATTAAACCATACGATGACGAAGGTAAGTTATGTAAATTGTACGTTAAGAAGTTAGAGAAAGTTTATGGCTTCAAGTATGACTACAATAGGGTTAACACTGATGATGAAGATATTGAGGAAAATTTATGAGAACATTAGTGAAGTCGTTAGTGAGAACGATAGTGAGAACGTTTATTTTTACATTAGTGAGTTCGTTAGTGAAAATGTTAGTGAAGTCGTTAGTGAAGTCATTAGTGAAGTCAGACGGTTTTGTAAATATTTAAGGTTAAGTTGGGTAAGGTGGAACGCAGTGCCGCCGTACCCAAGATAACCATACTAACTATATTGCCAAAAACGATGGAAAAACACCCCTCATGGTTGCAGCTAACTTAAACAGATACGAGATGGTACAACTCCTTGTTGAAAATTCAGCAGACGTCAATGCTAAAGATAATACAGGTTTATGTCCACTCCATTACACTGTCAAAAGTAATAACTCAGCGATTTTCGATTATCTTATTTCACACAGTGCAAATATAGGGTGTCCAAAGGTGTGTTTAGCACAAACCTGAATACTGCGAATAGAAATAAACAAGTTACATATATATAAAGTTTATTTAAATATAATCACCATTGGATTCAATCACGCGTTCGCAGCGATCGATCCAGGCTTGAAAGACACGCTTTAAATCATCATGAGAAAATTGCTCAAATTGCTCTCTTACAAAATTTTCAAGATCATCTGGACTCGCGAATTCGCGTCCTTCAGCTCTCTTTTTTAGCGTGCCGAATAAATAAAAGTCAGAGGGTGCAATATCAGGTGAATAAATTGGGTTTGGAACAACTTTGACATTGTTTTCCACCAAGTAATTCATTACCTTATGACTTTTGTGAACTCTTGAATTATCTAAATGAATTGCAAACTTTTGTTTTTGTTGTTTGGATTTCTCAAACTCATCAGAATTGATAATTTGAGTAAGAACATTGTCAATTAGATACTGAGCATTCATCGTATTAGGTTTTTGAAGAATATCAATTGCGATGATGCCATTCACGCCCCAAAAAACCGACAACATCATCATTGGTGTGTCAATTTTTTTCTTCGGGAATGTTTGCGGATTTTCATCCTTCGGGATCCACATGATTTTGGCTTCTGTTGCATATTGAAACCAAGACTCGTCCCCTGTTACTAAAAAGCGAAACTTCTTGGATTGATACGCACCCAATATAGAGAGGAGCTCTTTCGAAGATTGGACTCTAGATTTTTTTTGAACTGAATTAAGGTTGTGCGGAACCCAACGTGTATACGCTAGTTTGTAGTTCAAATAATTGTGCAAATAATAACTGACTGTTGTACGTGGTATCTTTGTCATCTCCTCTATCCTTCTGAGTGATGCTCTTGGGTCTTCATCTAGCGCTTGAAGAATTGCTTTGATTTTTCTTTGATCCGGCGATTTTTTGTCAATTTTTATGATGGGCGCCTTTTTGTTCATGAAGTGATACATCCTAACATGATACGTTACAGTGGAATAGCTAGGAGCATCCATACCGAAGCATTTTACCAATGTCTCGTAGATTTTTTTACAGTCTTTGCATTTTTTTGCAAGAGCGAGGATGTTTTCTTTATGATTCATTAAAAAAATGAAAAAAATCCCGCCAAAATTTCCCGCGAAACTGCCTCTTGTCTCAAAATTCATTTTATATCCCGGCATGGCGCCAAAATACAACATACTCATCATATACATATATTCATATTTTTTATTATATATTTATAATCAGCATATATCTCCTTTAATAGTCTCATATAGAGCGCTGTGCTAAACGCACCTTTGGACACCCTATATTTATGTCGAAGATGTTCAAGGTCAAACTCCATATGATTTGGCATGCGAAATGGGCAAGAATGAAATAATAAATTATATCAAATCGAAGGGCTTCAACATCAATCGATTAGATCGTTTTTATAAAGCGATGAATGACAATACTGGCAAATCTCCTTTAATTCTTGCAATAATTAATAATCGTGTTGATGTTGCGAGAAATTTGTTATCTCGTGGAGCAAATGTAAACTATGTCGATCGGTATGGTTTGAGTCCAATTCATTATGCAATTAAGGCTTCCAATTATGAAATGCTCGAATTACTAGTAGAGTATGGCGCCAATATAAATTAGACCACTCTTTTTCAACCTTTTGGAACTTCAAAATTCTTTTTTTAATTGATTTATTCTAATGAATAAACTTAAATTATTAATTTTACTTTTTAATTTCACACACTTTCCTATATCTTCATCATCCTAAATCTAGATTTTAAGTTTTTTTTGCGATGTACTATTGGGAAGGAACTAGATTAGATAATAATTTTTTAAGGGTGCACTTTTCTGACATTCTCTAAATTTTTCTGACATAAAAGTTTATCTCCAAATTATGTTCTTTCACAAAATTTTATCCAAATGAACAAGAATTTTAGTTAAATAGCCACAAAATACGAAAATCAATTTATCTATTCCTTTGTAAGAATACAAGAAGCCTAAAATTTGAGCATTACATTAAGATGTGAAGAATTACAATGAGATAGTTTTTTGATATTTAATATCAAAAAATACCAATTTTGCCAGAAATTGAGAGGAGCCGATGAGAAAAAATTGCATACGATATGGAATGTTTATTCTGAAATAGTGCCGACATTACTATATCTTGTATCAATATAGAATCGAGCAACTAGAAAAAGAATTATTTGATATTCGTAGCACCATGTTCAACTAAGAAATTGACAATTTCTGTTGAATTAGCTTTGCTTGCAATACCAAATACCTTTATTTTTTCGAAATATTACAACAGTAGCAACCTTACGCATTGCCAATGATAGCCAGAGTACTATTTTGGCATAAAAAAATTAAAACGATATTAAGACAACAGATTGACTAGTCATTCTGGTATAGTATCATGCATACTACTAGTTGATAAAATCTCAAATATCTTATCTTAACTTCCGTTTGATTATGAGATACAGATCTAAAGTTGCTTGTTTTGTAGCCATAGTCACTAGACGATAACATTATTATGATAAGAAGACTAAATGTGCGAGTTTAATATACATTTGATTCAGATTTATTATCGAAAATCAAATCACAATATATATCTTGAACTCATCTGTTAATAAAATCATGATATTATTGATTGTTTTCTGGATTTTTACAATATTTTCTAAACATGTGAAGATAATCCTTAATTTGAACCAGAAATAATTTTAAATTACTAACAATGGATGGTTATCTATATAGAATAATATATTATTTTTGATAGTAAACTATGACTGATTTATAATTTAGGAATATATACTTTGTTTCTATATCTTTGAAAAATAGTTATATGATTTTGCTGTATAAGTGATATATTTTAATAGAAATATTATAGAATAACAAAAATAAAAAGGTTTATTTCTCTCTAAATTATAAATTTTCAAAAAAATTAACCTCATTTTTCCAAAAAAAAATCGAGAATTGAAAAAAACGTTATCATTTTCTAGAAAATTGCATAGGCTTTTTCTAAAATGGAAAAAATTTGGAGAAACTCACCAAGGAGAACTTCATTCTAGGTGTCAAAAGCAATTGCTATCAGTCAAACAAACCTCGAAAATTTTAAATATTGATATCGATTTTCATCAATCACTTAAAATCTATTGTTTGCAGTCGATGCTATCCCATATTATTAAATTCTAATATACTTGAACATACTACAAATCGTTTTTGAAACTTATCAACATTCCGCGCAATTTAACAATACTGCAACTCTCATACACAGTTCCCATTATCACAGTCGCATTTTAAGAAGAAATAGTTAATAAAATCTAAGATCTAACGATTTAATTACCCAATTCGAATAATTTTTTTAATTATAAATACTTATTTGTGCATGTTTTATATTCAAATGTAGAAAGAAAAACGAATAAAGTGTTCCTTCAGAAAAATACCTGAAAGCACCCTAATCAATAAACAATTTACTTTTTTAGCATCGAATTTTGCTCGTCTTGAGCCATATTTTTTCGTTTAATTTTCATAATACGATAATACATATGGGTTATCAAGTAAAATATGGATATTCTAGAAGATGATAATATATCTCGAAATCAAACGAAAGTCATTCTATGAGTCCATACACACTATTACTATACTTCATATGTCAAGCATAATGGGAACAATTTTGGTCGATACCTTAGTTGTCGACGAAGTTCCCCCCTTTTACTTGAATTATATGATTATTATGGTGGTAAAACTTTGGAGCTCTAGATCGCTTTCTATGTCGAGTTGAATGATTTTTAAATTTTCTATGAAATTCTGAAGAGTATTCAAAAGTGAAAAAATTTAAAAATAGAATAATGTTTTTCATTATTTCCACTAGGATAATCTTTAATTGCAAGTAACTATTATTATTTCATAATAATTATGATATTTTCTCTACTCACACTAGAATGCATAACACTTTTTTTGGATAGCCGTTACAATTTCCAATCAATGCAAGAATGGGCCACAGCAATGTATTTTATTAACTATATTGTTTGATCTATATTATATAAGAATAAGCCATTTGTGATAATGATCTGAAAGTTGTATTAGAGAAAAAGGAATTATAACAAATTTTGTTCCTTATCTGAGGTAGTTGATAAGGTATTGTACCTCAGATGAGGAACAAAGACTTCAAAAGCTCTTAAGAAAGATCTTTTAAGTCTTTTGTCTACAATCAGATGTTGATTGTTAAGGATAAATGAAATTTATTTTATTTTTTATTCGAAAAATAGAAAATTTTAACATGATAATTTATTAACAGGCATTCCACAAAATGTTGACTTTGGATAGTTACAAGATACCTTAACAATGAAAGCCACTTGCTTATAGTTATTAATTGTATCAGGGATTGATGGATCACTTGTACCATAATAGAACAAATTAATTGCCTTTGAAATTGTTCCAAATGCATTTCCTATAAACTTGACATTGTCATATGCTACCAATTCTTTTAATGCATAACATTTATAAAATGCATCTGGCCATATTATACATCCTTGTCCAATAGTAACCTTTTGAAAATTATAACAATCTTCAAATGCATTATTTGAAACATTACAATCGTTAGGCAGAACAACTTCTTCAACTAAACATGACATGAAAGCGAATTGATCAATTTGTACCAAAGTTGAAGGAATGACAATTCTTTTAACATAAGACATTGCAAAACAATATTCTTCAAGATCAGTAAGTCCGTTTTCAATTATGCATTGATTTACATGACAATCAGTAAAAGACCAGTTTGAAAATTTTTTCATACTTCCGGCAATTGTTAGTGTATCTATACTTGTTCCTCTAAAGACATGTTGATCAACGGATTCAGTATTTGCTGGAAATGTAAAGTTAGAGAAATCTAAGAAAGCAAATGCAAATTCTCCAATTTTAAGAGAATTTGATGTAAGAGGTAAAATCAGAGTTTCCAGTGAAATGTTATAAAAACAATAGCTACCAATACTTGATAGTGGTGGAGATAATTCAATATATTTTAGAACACTTCCAACGAAACAATGTGAACCTAAACTTACAATATGAGGGATTACAACCCTCTCACATGGCATATTACTAAATGCCCACGATCCAATAGATTGCAAAGTTGATGGGAATGAAATTTCCTCAATAACACTCCCAGAGAATCCAGAGGTATCAATATTTCTTAAGCCTTCTGGCAAAATTAATTTCTTTATTAATGTTCCACTGAAATCTCCTGAACCAATATTTGTTATTGAGTTATTTTGCATAATAAAATTCTGGCATCTGCACCCACAAAACAAATTATTTAAGTGTTTATAATTTGTTGTTAATATTATGTTCGTAATATTACAAGAAGCAAATACTTTTTGACACATCCCTTCGATCGACATCGGAAAAACAACCTCTTTTAATGATGTATTTGCAAATGCTTCAGTTTCTATCACAGTTAAATTAAATGGAAATTCAATTGATTTTAATGGTGTTGAATAAAATGCTTGATAACCAATGCTGTTTAATGTAGAAGGAAGAGAAACAGCTTCTAAGAAACTCCATTGAAAAGTCTGATAGTTAATAACTTTGATTCCCTCAGGAATAGTAATATTCCTAATGTAACAATATTGAAAAGCATGACGAACAATGGTCTCTACAGATGTGGGAATATATACATTGTCAACTTTACAGTACAGAAAAGAGTTTTCGTATATTATTTTGATTGAATTTGGAAGTATGATTTCTGAAATATTTGCTCTCTCAAATGTATTGTATGATATTTGTGTTGGTCCATATTGAATTGTCACATTTGGAATATTTGACCAAGTAAATGCATAGTCAGCAATATACGTTATAGTGGGAGGTAAAATAAGCAAATCTAAAGTCATATACTGTAACTCTCTATGATATATTACTGTTCGGTTAACAGGGATTTCATATTTCCTCATTGGAGTATATGCCCATGCACATCTTCCAATCGAAATCTTTGCAGACAAATTGATTGATTCAATTTGTGAAAGATAAAATGCATTATCTCCTATAAATGTTATAGAACTTGGAAGAACAAGATTGAAAACAATGATGTACAAGCGTAGTAAGTCCAGTATTTAAACTAATATTTGCTAATTTATGACAATTCGAAAAACAGTAACTTCCAATCATTTGAACGTTACCTGAAATATAAAATTCCTCAAGATTTGAACAATGCTGGAAAGCTGCAATGCCAATAGTAGTTACAGATCCTTGAATTGTTAAAGATTTTAATTTGGAACTGTGAAATGCATTATTATTAATAGAAGATAGACTACCAATAATAATAACATGAGTTAGACTATTCGTATTTTGAAAAGCATTGTATCCAATAGAATCAACGTTTGAAATCGTAGCATTAATGATTGAATTCCAACCATTGAATTGATAATTAGATATATATCCATCCCTAATGATGAAACTACCATTAATATCCTCATAAACTGCTTGCGGCATTATTCAAATTAGAATCACAAATATAAAAAAGTGACTTCATCAATATTCATTATACTTATTGTATATATGAAGCTTTCTAAATACAGATTCACTTATTTTTTTTGCTAGTTGTAAAATTGAATGTCCGAAAATTGAAAGATAATTATTTTTCAATATCAATTTGAATTATTAGAATCAAAATCACTAATTTAATATGCATCAAATCTATAAATGCAGCGTTTTTTTTAATTAGATTGGATGTTTTGAGAACAATTGAATTTAAATTTTACATTTTATAGCAATCGATTCAATGTTAATACTAAGTAAATGCAGAATTTTAATTATCATCGTTCCATCACTTTTTGAGAATAAATCAAAAGAACTTGGATAATTTTTGAAACATATTATATTCTTTGTATTAAGTATAATTATAGCAAAATAATTTCAATGGTCATTCAAAAAGAATTTTGAAGTTTGATGAATTTGAGAAGATGTCTAATTTTACTCAAAATTTATAGGAAAATAAAATCTTAATTCCTACTGTATGGCTAACAAAAAACATTTTGTTATGGTATCTACAGTAGTTATTTTTACAAAATGTATCCTCCTCAAAAATACATCAATTTCTTATAATTGAAATCATTACCACATACCATAACAAATTTTAAAATTTTCCCAATAACCTTTAACGGTAAACTTTTGCGGATTAAAATTTTATATTGAGCGACACTTAATGTTCTTTTAAAAACCAGGCTTTTGCTGAAGAATAATAAAAATAACCGCCGTGATTTTCAATGAACTTAGGAAATATTTGACAATTTTCCATTTCCACTTATTATCTGAGTGACTAATATATTGAATAATTATTCCGCTTAAAATGATTCACCAACGACATTTTCATAGAAAATTATCGTTTTATTTTATTTTTTCTGTACCATGCAGATTGTTTCTTCAAATGAATGGACAAATATATCGGGAGGGGATATTCCAGATTACCGATTTAGGTGGTGGACATATTTTACATTTGTTAACATAACCAAAGTTCCTAAAATCGGAAATAATGCATTTGCTGAAATGACATCTCTTCGTGAAGTTCATATTTATGACACCACAACAACAATCCTAAACTACGCATTCTATAATTGCTATAATCTTGAAAAAATTCAACTTCCAGATACGTTAAAGTACATTGGAAACTTTGCTTTTGCAAATTGTTCGAAACTTAACGATATATTAACACCCGATGGCATGGAATATATCGGTAATGATGCATTTTCTAAAACTTCAATGAAAAGGTTTAACTATGCTCCTACTATTAAATTCATTGGAGCTAATGCATTTTGGTCGTGCGGCTTGAATAACATAACTGTGCCTGATGGTATTACTCGTATCCATCACTATTCTTTTCAGCTTGCAGGATTAAATACGGTATTCTTATCACCATCAGTAGTAGTAATTGAAGCTGGTGCTTTTGCAAATAATCGTATCAAAAACTTCACATTAAATGAAGGTTTAACAATGCTGAATGCTTCGGTCTTTTCATACTGTGGAAGTCTTGAAGAATTAGGAGTTCCAAATACTTTAAAAGTCATTGGTTCCAGAGCACTTGAATTCACACCATTATTTAATCTTACTGTTCCTGATACATTCGAAGAAATAATGGATTATGGACTTGCATATACTAATATTCATCGGATTATATATCCACCAAACACAACAATGGGAAGATATGTATTTGAATGCAGTGCATTGCAATCATTGGTTATTCCTGATGGAGCAACATATATTGGAAATTATACATTTGCAAATAGTTATTTAGTATGGGTCAAATGCCCTGAATCAATTACACAAATAAGATCAAATGCATTTGAAGGATCTAGAATTTCTAAAGTCTATATTCCAAGTCATCCCATTGATATTGGACCTGCAATCTTCAATTTCTCAATGATAAGACATTTCTCAATCTTCGAAGATTTCACATTTATTCCAGAATCGATGTTCAGTTTTTCACGACTATCTGAATTCGAAGTTCCTAAATCAGTAACAAGGATAGAAAGATGGACATTTAGAGGATGCAAACTTACATCAATCATTACTCCAGAAGCAACTACTCAAATTCAAGCAGGAACATTCATGGAGTCGCAATTATCCACTATCAAATTATCATCAACTCTAAAATCTATTGATTATTATGCATTCTATCAAACTAACTTGCAATTCCTTGATCTTCCTGATGGTTTTAGGACAATAGGAGACAGAGCTTTTGGAAGAACACCAATGGGAAACATTACTCTTCCAGAAGGAATGACAACAATAGGCACAGGAGCATTCAGAGAATCAAATGTATCAATTATCAATCTTCCAAGTACAATAACATCTGTTGAAAGTTTTGCATTCTTCAATTCATCATTAATAGCATTCAATTTATCAGAAAGAATGGGTGTTGGAAATTATGCATTTTCATGGACTCCAATGTCAAATATAACAATACCAGAAGAAAGAACAAGAATATATGATTTTGAATTTGCATATACAAACTTTTCTTATTTAATTCTTCCTGATAAAATTAGATCTATTGGCCAGCGTGCATTTGCTGGATGTTCATTTAATGAAATTAGAGTTCCAGAAGGTATGACAACTATCGGATCAAATGCATTTGCAGATACATGCATTAAACATATTTATCTTCCATCAACATTGACATCAATCAGCTCTTATTGTTTTTATAATGCAAGTTGTTTATTAGTTGACATTCCTGAATCAGTTAAATATATTGATCAATTTTGTTTTTGTTACAGTTCAATGCCATCAATAGTAATTCCAAATAATGTAACTCAATTACGTTACCAATTATTTGCTCATAGTTTGATTTATAATATAACATTATCAAATGCAATTACTGTTATTGATTCACATGTATTTTATAACTCTTCAATTCTTCTAGGATTAGAACTTCCAGATACTGTTGAAACAATTGGTCAATATTGTTTCCAATATACAACATTCAAGAACATCACAATTCCACCAAAAGTTGACCGTCTCCAAACTGGACTTTTCCAACATTCAATGCTTGAAACAATTTATCTTCCAAGACATCTTAAAACTATTGAAAATAATGTATTTTCTAATTCATCTCTTAAAGAAGCAGAAATGCCAGAAGGACTTGTATCTATTGGCGAAAATGTCTTTTATAACACATCTCTTTCTTATTTGCATCTTAAAGAAAACTTCACAAAATTATATCAATATGCTTTAGCTTCAAGTAACATTTCCATCATCAATTAGAGAAATTCAACAATATGCATTTAAGAATACATCAATTCCAAACATTATCATTCCTGAAGGTCTAACTTTAATTGGAGATAATGTATTCTATGATACAGTTATATCATTTATGGATCTTCCTTCATCAATTCAATCAATTGGTAAATATGCATTTAGAAATTGTTCTCTCAAAAAGCTTGTTCTTAAAGAAGGACTCCAAACAATAAATGAATATGCATTTTATAACAGCAGTATCGTTGAAATCAATATTCCTTCAACGGTGACTTCAATTGGAAGTTATGCATTCTTTAATTTACCTTTTGAAAAATTAATATTCCCTGAAATTGCAAATATTAGTTATATTGGTCCATTTGCTTTTTCTTATCTTGAATATACGAATATAACAATTCCAATTGGAACAACATTTATTGCCGATCAATCATTTAGAGGTTCATTTATTACTAATTTAACAATTCCTATTACATTAAATGATATGGGAAACTGGTCATTTTCAGATTTTCAATCAGATAATTTTTCTATTCCAAAAGGGATTGCTAAAATAGATGAATACACATTTTCATCTAGCGATATAAAAAGAATAACAATTCCTGATACTGGAATATTTATAGACACTGGTTCTTTTATGTCTTCAATTATTAATGAAACATTTATCCCATGTTATTCAACTATAGGTGTCAGTGCTTTTGAAGATTGCGAAAATTTAACATTAATGAACATGAGTTCACATTCAACAATTAATCAAATGGCTTTTTATAATTGTTATTCATTAACTAATATAACAACTGAACCTGATATTATGTTCACAGGAAATGCTTTTTACAATGTTACAAATGTTACAATTGTACATTATGGATTGATTGATTTTTCAACTCCAGAAACGAGAAGAAACTTTAATTCAATAGTTAATAATGCATATGTTCAATGCTGCTATCGCCATAAGAGTATAGCATATATGAAACCAAAGAATTACACAGTTTGCAATGAATTTGTCAGTTGCTATTCGAACGAAAAAGTTAATTATAGAGCTAATTATGGATTTTATGCCGCAATGTCATTGGGATTGCTCTAAGTTCTGTAGATAGTATCAAGAAGAGTTTGAGACGGAAGCGGCTCTTTATTTAGATCATTAAAATTAATTGATAAGAATCAGCATCTTGCTGAAACTTTTATTCAGATTTCATTCAATTCTCAAAATTGCGGGGTTAGATAATTTTCATCTTTAAAAATCATTAATCATTGCCTCATATAACAAACAAATATGTATTGATGAAATATAATTTATTATTTATTTTGTTAGAAGAAAGTAAAGAATTAAATATCATGTTATGCGATTAAATGAATACCATTATTTTACCCAGATTTTCCTTACTTTTACCACTCCCCATGTAATTTCTGGGGAAAACGATAATTCATTTTTTTTATGGATGAATAGATCGTTTTCCTAGAAAGGACCTCATATCTCTGGCTAAAAAGAGTGTCAGATCCTAAATAGATTATTGATCTAGTGTACAAATCCAATAAAAAGCCTATTTTTTGGCTTTTTTGGTGCTCATTTTTTCGAAGATCTACATGAATATGGGGAAACCATCGGATTTTTTTGGTTAACCCACATCTTCATGTAGTCTGGACTATCTTTCCTCGAAGGACCTCTTTACGGGTGTAAAAACTCATAAAGTTCTCAAAAGATTCATTCTCGATCTCCATGCTGAAAGAATTTACAATAAAAAAGAGATCTACGCATCAAACTACAGCCATAAATGAACTGAACCCCTAAAGCTCAGCTCTTAGTTTATCAAAAACGTCGAAATCCTTCTCATTGCAATCAAATTTTCTCAATAACTCATAAGAAAAATTGAATTTTGATTAAGCCGATGTTATAGGTATCACAAATACTACAAACTTGAGCAATATCGAAATTGCCAGCAAAAGTTTGAAATTGCATTGCTCATATTTGTTTTGTAAACTAAAAATCTGCTTATATTATTCATTAATTTTTTATATATTATTCATATACTTTAATAAAAACAATACTATTTCACCTTAAAAATGAATTTCATAAGTCAATATTATTTTTTTGAAAATGTATCAATTTTCGATTAAAACAACATGAGAATAAAATTTACGCAAAATTATTTTAAAAAATGGTTTTAAAAATTTACAATTGATTAAGAATAAGATTGCAAGAAGTTTTGAAGTTTAATTTTAAGAAAAAAAATTCGGATATTATTCATGGATCTAAGTAATCTGATATTTGAGTATCGGCACTATGCATAAAACATATATTTATAGTTTTTTTGGAGTTTTATGATTTTAAATATATTCAAATTTGGCAATCCAATAGATTTTTAAAAAATAGGTAAATAAAAATAGATTACATATGCAGCAGATTTAGAACATGAAACAAATTTTATAGTGACCCAAAAAAAAATTCATGATCCAAAAAAGAAAAAATTTGGCTAAACGGAAATCAAACCTTGGCATAACAAATCATTATGTCAGATGTTTCCACTACACTACACCGGCAGTTCGAAAAATACCCTTGGTGGTTCTATTTAATAGCTACTCCCAACGATAGGCGGTGTCCCCAGCTTTAGAGAGGTGGTAAAAGTAAGGAAAATCTGGGTATCTAAAAATAAATTCCAATTGGCATTTCTCTGGAGTATATATACATAAAATTAAAATCTATTAAAGGTGTAAATATTCATTCATATCAGTAACAAACATTAATCGATAGGAAATAAAACGAACTCATTTACTAGAAGAATAGACATATTCATATTATATAATGGTAATCACAATCAATTCTAAACACAGTAAGCAAAAACAAAGAACAAAATGAAAAACGGATTGATTACAATTCATAATGCAAACCTAGATCTTCAAGTATATTGTGTCTACATTTACTCATAGAAGGAAGTAAAAACATTTTTAATCATTTATCAAATCACAATCGATTTAATATGCAGATACACTATGTCTAGTTACTAACAACGAATCTTCCGTTGAACATTATCTATATGTACAAACAAGTCTACTAATACATAATAAGCACATATTCTATTAGAAGAAAAATCATTAAATCACATTATGCTTTAGTTTCAAACGATGACCCTTCCTTTGTTCATTATCAATATGTATAAACAACTCAACCAATATGTATAAACACATAAACTATTATAAGAAAGATATATTCTAATTATTAGAAAGGTAACTAAACTCCTTTCGCCGATCCGATTTGCTCCATATTTAAAATATAGCTTGCATATGTAGAAGAAAAGCTAATTTTGAAGTACGCCCGAAATCCACCAACAGGATTTCGAGCTACTAAAAAGGTACTTTTAAATGTGATTTTTTTTATAAAAAATTAAATTTATTTTAAGATCAGACTAAAAACTAATTTTATGGAAAATCTATATCGACAAATTTATTACTTATTGGGTATATAGATTTTTTGATTATGGCGATTATGTCTGATATGCTTCCAATAAGCCAAAACACATTTCATACTGATTTCTATAAAAGGTATCTTTATTATAGAAGTGTAAGCTATATCTGTTTGTTTTTTTATTATAACAAATTCAAAATTCTCTTATAAGGACTAGATGAAATCTGTATTATTAAATCATTAGCTAAATGAAGGTTCAAATAGAAAGTAAATATCAATTTATATGATACTGAAACCAAATAGTTCTTTTAATAAAAGATAACACGCTGAAAATTATTGAGTATTTGCAAATCTCAAAAATCTATTGGTGAATTTGGCTCAACTTTTAAAATTATAACATCCATATCAAATCATAAAAGCAGACAAAAATTAAAGCCAAACCTATCGGCCAATTTTTTTTGATATTTTGATTTTTGAGGTATACTTTTAAAAGTGGATTTAAAGCACTTATGAAAAACATTAACTTCTGTCGTTATATTATGATTTAGACAATAATGATTTTAATCTTTGATTATCAAAACACTAAAGTCATCTTTTTAACATTTGCTTGGTAGCATTAACTCAAGTCTAAAGTACTATTTTATGTGGCACTCTTAGAATTTTTGTATTCATTGTACACGCTGAAATAGTACCATTAAAAGTTGTGGCGGACTTTCAAAAAATAGTTTGGTCACCTTTATTATTAGTTAAGGATACCCTTACATTGCGTAGTTAGAAAGAGAATATGATATTGTCATGATTGCTAAAGTTTTAGGCTCCAGAAATGAATATACATAAACTGAAACAATTGATAAATTGAATGAACTTTTGAGAGGTTCTCAAATAATAAAAAAAATTATCTAATTTTTTACAATATTACTATTATTTATCCACCTATGTATATATAGTAATTTGAGAAAACTTTTAGGAAAAAATAAGTTTAATAAATCTGAATTTTAATTGTTGTGGGATTGTTATTAATTGACACTCCAGACGTATTACTAATAGTTATGCGTATGCAATTAAAGTATTTCTGATGGACAAAATGTGAGATTTATATCAGATAATTCATTTCTACTATTAAGTTATTTCATTTATGAGTTTGCACTTATTCGCACTAAATAAATAACTATTAAAAATTGTTTTAATTAATTGACACCATATAATAGAGTGAATTTTGTTTGATCAACAACAATAGATGATAGATATAAAGCCAAGAAACTTGCTATTAATATGCTCTACTTGCTATTTCAATGTAAGTATGATATTTTCTAAATGTTTCGTTCAGATAACTTAGATATATTAGTCAAAATTTGAAATTTTAATAGCACATATATTAAAAATAATTATTATTCATAAAGATTAATGAAATAGTAAAAAAAATCAATCAAATTATAAAAATACAACATTTAGAAGAATTCTTATTATCCTTCAAAAAGTCAGTATTTCTGCTGTAATTTTCTACAACATTGTAGTTATTGCACTTTGTCTATGGATTTGTATATATGTTATATATAAATTATATATCTAAACTGCCCATAAGTGCAATTTTTATATAAATTGTTTATTTCTTTTAACAATTTCATATGAAATATGCTTTTTTAAGCGTATCAAAGCTGTGTTCTTAATGTGCATGGATATATCAAGAAAAATGTCGAAAAAAAATGTGAATTCACAAATTCACTGAATTTTCACCGTTTTTTGAATTTTGCTACAGCACTAATATTAAATAATACTAAAATCTTCTGTCTTTGTAAAAGAATAAATTCTGACAAAAAGTGCTCGTTTAAATTTAATGATCATCTGTATGACTAAGTGGTAAAAAGTGTTTATGACCAAAAAAGGGTTACATGCTTAGTCTATTTTTTGACAGGATACTCTAGATTTACATGATCTCTATTTCATATCTCCGTTTTTAGATTCTTCGACAGATTTTATGATAGAAAACCAAGATTAACAAATTTCCGGCATGTTAATGAAGAAATCTGCAGCTACCCTCAATATTATTTCAATAATCAGTATCGTTTCTCTTACAATTTATTTTTTTCTCAATAATTTAACAAGAAATAACAATACACACTTGGTTTTACGTATAAAAGCTAAGTGTCGAACTTAATCAACTTTACTTACTTAGCAAATGAATATTTTTGTGGTTGCGAGTTCTGAATGCTGAAGTTTTAGATTTCTCTATAAATGATATCATTGCACTTACAATGTTGTTCCAGCCTATCGCATAAATCATAGAAAATCCAAAAAAAAATAATATAAAGAAAATTCATGTCATGAAGTTCAAAAAATACCGTGTAACATTAAAATTTGTTATGCATAATACATTTTAGCTATTATTGATTTTTTTTAATTTTCGAGAAATTGAATGGTGAGTCCGATAGAGAAATTTTTAAAAATCCTAGTGCCTCATAGAAGTAATTTCCCTCGTCTCCCATACTTCCAAATGTATGCATATGACATAAACTTTTATGCATTACACAAGTGGCCAATAATATCTATAGAGTAAAAAATTAGAATTTAATTTTTTTATATGATAGTTATATTTCAGATTTGCGAGCGTAACTTTTTTCTCCATGGCATACTTGTTTTAAGAGCAAATGATCAAAATCGTCCTTCAATTATTGAAGGAGCTGATA